TTGCCCCCCCCCCCAAAAAAAAAAAAGTTGATTTGGGCATCATTACCATAACACATGTAACATGTGAATTAGATGGATTTTATTGCTCAAGAAATTGGCTAATTTCTTTATTTTGAATTAGATATTTATTATTGCTCAAGAAATTGGCTAATTTCTTTATTTTGTTCAAATTAGAAATATCTCAACTTAGTGAAAATGTATTTACATATATTATATTTTTTAGGTTTCATGTGTATACAGGAATACTTAGGAATATGTGTGTGTGTGTGTGTGTGTTAGTGTATCAGTGTGGAAATCATGAGTTCATCTTGGCATCAAACTTTATACTAATTCTCTTCACAGCATAATATTTTGTTTAGACATGTGGCTCTCGAGCAGGTCCTTTTATGTGCATCTTGATTACTAACTCTCAGGCTGGGTTTTTGGTGTCACTTCGGAGCCAATGGACCGGCACATGACTTCTGAGTCAGGAGTTGTCCACATTTCCCAGGAATCTAAACAAAAGATTCAGAAGTTGAGGTACATCTCTGTATGAATATTTTTAGCACAGTTGTTGTTTTATTTATGAAGTCACCATTATTTTTTTTTTGGTTCTGTGTTGTTGTTGTTGTTGTTTTTTTGTTGTCTGTTTTACTTATTGTTTACGTTATGTTTGTGTGTTTGTACATGCACCTCTTCACATTCTTATATATATACATATGAGTATAAACTGGTGTGTTTGTTTTTACTCTTTTTGCTTTCCTTCCTTTTTTCCAGAGTACATCTATTTTACTATTATTTTTATGCACATTGAACATATCAACAGGAGTGTTATTAGATATTTTTTTCTGTGCTCATTTATTAAGATAAAGTTTATTGGCAGGAACTACTGTGATGAAATATTCATTTTGTTTTAGTGGAGCATTTGATTTTCATCACAGTAGTATTCAGAGCTTCTTTAGACTCTCTTTGAACTTCTTTGCTTCAGACTGGAGATAGACGAACTGCAACAGCGCGTCCTGAAAGAGCGTGACCAGTACCAGGCAGCCACCCAGAGTGCTTTCCCTGGCATCTCGGCAGTTCCTTTCTTCTCTGTCAATGACAAGGTAAGAGAGTGTGTAGAAAGGCATTGAAAGTGGACATGCATAGCTATGTTGGTTTTCCTAATTGAATTTCATGATTAATTCATGTACAGGTTCTGTAATGATTAACTAAGTTTTCTAAAAATTGATTCAGAAAAAAATGTTTTGCAGTGATGATGCTTTTACCATTTAACATTAACCCAGTGCCTTTGGGAAAATGTAATATTCACTATAGTTTTGTTTTGTGAAATGTTTCTACCCATCATTAGCTCCACAAACAGTTAGCCACCAAGGAATCAGTTAATAAACCTCATGACCTCACCTGATTTGACCTTATTTTTGGCTAATGCTGTCAACATAAATGCTATTATTATTATTATAGATTTTTAAATGTTATTAATGTTATAACCAGTAGCAATGTAAGATAAGGTAGAAAATTGTCCAAAATTTAGGAAAAGCATAAACAGAAGAGATAGGTAGTGCTAGTAACTGATTCTTTGGTGACTATTCACCTGTGGGATTGTTTATGTGTACAGACAATTAATAAACTAAAGTCACGTCGGTATGACATGCATATACATGTCCCCAGTGGCATTGGGTTAACAGAGGCTCTTAATATAAGGGAACTTTTAAAAAAGTTTCTGATGTGATTGTACAGAATTCTGTTTTTGTTCTGAATGATTGTATGATTGGAAAAATGTCTTCATTTTAAAATTTTACTGGACTGTTCATTATATACATTTTTTACTTTGCCATTGATCCTTTTCTCCCTTTAGATAAGTCTCAACCGTTCTGATGCCTCATATTTGTTGAGTGTGGAGGTACAGACAGCCGTTGACAATGTACTGCTGCAAAGTGATGTCCCCATTGACTTGTTGGATGTGGAGAAGAATTCAGCAGTGGTTAGCTACAGTACCTGTGATCCTGAGGTAAAGTTAAATAGCTTGATTATAATTCATCAGCAGTTACCATCACCACTATCGTCCTCGGTATCATAATGATTCCTTTTATATTGGTCATTTTGATGATGAAGGATAAAGAGTCTGTTTGCAAGTCTGAATTTTCTACTTTCCCGTAATGTATTGTCTTACATCACTTTTTCTTTTTGTCATATTGATTCAAATACAGTTCATCTCTCTCCCCTTAAAAGTTGAGATCATATCCAGTTGTTCAGTATCAAGTTAATCTGATATTTTAAGCACATCTCTTCACGTTCATTATGCAGTAGAGTACATTCCTATTTCTTCGATGTGGTTTCTTGTTTCAGTGTTTTATTTATTTTGTGTCTCTTTTCCAAATCCTTATCTTTTGCCTACTATCATAGTATCTTTTCTATTTCATCATAGCTACTTTTTATACCACTACTGTCATATAGTTACTCTTATTTTGATTTGAATATAACCGATTTGGATAAATTTGCCTCCTCAGAGTGGAAATTTCCTTCTGGCAACTTACCGCTGTCAAGCCAACACCACCAGGCTGGAGGTTCGCATCAGGACCATCGAAGGACAGTACGGAACCCTTCAAGCATACATTACCCCAAGACTTCAACCTAAATGCTGTCAGGTCGGTGATGATAAATTTGGTTAGCTTTAATAAGTTGTATTGATTTATATTAGAGATAGGTTATTGTGATTTGAAAAAGATGCATAAACTCCAATGTATTGAAGCTTGAAGTTCTCTATTTAAAGGGAAGTGATATTGGACTATGATATTTAGTATTTCAATTATGTAGATTCTTTATTTTTATGAAGAAGATAAGATAGGCAATATTTTGACTGAACTTTACTTGGATAATTAAGATTACAATTTTCTTTTTTTACTTCACTTAAAAGGTTCGTCAGTATCGTATCAAGCCCCTGTCTCTTCATTCACGCATCCATAGTTTCGATCCAAACCGTCCATACAACACCTTAACTTTGAAAGGGCAGTTTACTCTACCAGAAATGCATGCTTGGGTTGTCTTCTGCTTACCCGAATTACCCGAGCGCACTCCCTCTGGTGAAAGGGCTGAATTCACTTTTGTCTCTACATTCCTGGATACCCAAGTAAGTATCTCTATCAATTTGATATTATTAAGAAAATATATGTGTGTGTGTGTTTGTGTGTGTGTGTGTGTGTGTGTGTGTGTGTGTGTGTGTGTGTGTGTGTGTGTGTGGTGAAAGGGCTGAATTCACTTTTGTCTCTACATTCCTGGATACCCAAGTAAGTATCTCTATCAATTTGATATTATTAAGAAAATATATGTGTGTGTGTGTGTTGTGTGTGTGTGTGTGTGTTGTGTGTGTGTGTGTGTTGTATTAATTGATATTAGAGATAGGTTATTGTGATTTGTAAATGATGCATAAACTCCAATGTATTGAAACTTGAAGTTCTCTATTTAAAGGGAAGTGATATTGGACTATGATATTTAGTATTTCAATTATGTAGATTCTTTATTTTTATGAAGAAGATAAGATAGGCAATATTTTGACTGAACTTTACTTGGATAATTAAGATTACAATTTTCTTTTTTTACTTCACTTAAAAGGTTCGTCAGTATCGTATCAAGCCCCTGTCTCTTCATTCACGCATCCATAGTTTCGATCCAAACCGTCCATACAACACCTTAACTTTGAAAGGGCAGTTTACTCTACCAGAAATGCATGCTTGGGTTGTCTTCTGCTTACCCGAATTACCCGAGCGCACTCCCTCTGGTGAAAGGGCTGAATTCACTTTTGTCTCTACATTCCTGGATACCCAAGTAAGTATCTCTATCAATTTGATATTATTAAGAAAATATATGTGTGTGTGTGTTGTGTGTGTGTGTGTTGTGTGTGTGTGTGTTGTATTAATTGATATTAGAGATAGGTTATTGTGATTTGTAAATGATGCATAAACTCCAATGTATTGAAACTTGAAGTTCTCTATTTAAAGGGAAGTGATATTGGACTATGATATTTAGTATTTCAATTCTGTAGATTCTTTATTTTTATGAAGGATAAGATAGGCAATATTTTGACTGAACTTTACTTGGATAATTAAGATTACAATTTTCTTTTTTTACTTCACTTAAAAGGTTCGTCAGTATCGTATCAAGCCCCTGTCTCTTCATTCACGCATCCATAGTTTCGATCCAAACCGTCCATACAACACCTTAACTTTGAAAGGGCAGTTTACTCTACCAGAAATGCATGCTTGGGTTGTCTTCTGCTTACCCGAATTACCCGAGCGCACTCCCTCTGGTGAAAGGGCTGAATTCACTTTTGTCTCTACATTCCTGGATACCCAAGTAAGTATCTCTATCAATTTGATATTATTAAGAAAATATATATGTGTGTGTGTGTGTGTGTGTGTGTGTTGTGTGTGTGTGTGGTGTGTGTATAAGTGCTCAACCACCAGGCAGTCAGTTAGTAGGTCTTAGTGACTGTACCTGATTTCCCCATTCCTTGAATTTGCAGAAAGTGTTTTTTTTTTTTTTTTTTTTTTTTTTTTTTTTTTTTTTTTTTTTGTGAATTTTGTTGCAAATAGCTGGCTCTATAAGTGCTCAACCACCAGGCAGTCAGTTAGTAGGTCTTAGTGACTGTACCTGATTTCCCCATTCCTTGAATTTGCAGAAAGTGTTTTTTTTTTTTTTTTTTTTTTTTTTTTTTTTTTGTGAATTTTGTTGCAAATTTTTTTTTGTGAATTTTGTTGCAAATAGCTGGCTCTATAAGTGCTCAACCACCAGGCAGTCAGTTAGTAGGTCTTAGTGACTGTACCTGATTTCCCCATTCCTTAAATTTGCAGAAAGTTTTTTTTTTTTTTTTTTTTTTTTTTTCTAATGCTATGGATATTGATACTTTTATTATGGGTATTGACATTGTGATTATGATAATGTTATTAAAATACTATAACAATATAAATGGTGAAATGAAGAAAAAGAGTATTTCTGGAAACCAAGAAAAACTGGGTAATTGACTCCTTGGTGACTAAGCACCGGTGGGGCCCTCTCTGTGCAAATAAAATTAATAAACAAAAATTTCAGTGGACATGGCATGTATTTACATCATACACATCCATTGGGTTAACCTGACCCATATTGTAAGCTAGAAAGTTGCACTAGCATTTCTGCCTTTTATACATTACATATGTATTTAGGTGGCTCTATGTTTCATTGAGAAGATTCCATAAAATAAGTATAAATCACTAAATTGGTAGAAAGAGGCAATACATATATGAATTATATACTGATTCTGATAGTTCTAGTATATTAGTTAATTCCACAGTCAACTTTCTGTACAGAACATCTGATCTTTTTTCTTTTCTTTAAGGTTCGCCTTGACATTTCGTGCGAAGTAAGTGAGGAGAGTGTTGTACACGCTCTTCACCTTCTGCACCCACGACTGGAGGCCCAGCTCATGTTAGCCAAACAGGTAACGCAAACCAAATATATAATAACTCGCCATCATTTTATATTTTGATTCAAGGGTCAGGCTTGAGATGTGGAGTGTGTAATTTTATCCTTAATTTACATCTATCTTCCACCAGGTATCATTGATAGATGCCCTTCGGGAGTTGGGCTCCCATGAAACGGATACGAGTTTTCTTTCTCCAGAGTATAAGCAGATATTGGACAATGCTGATGAACTTCTAGCACAATATCGCAAACAACCATGTCATCTTGAAAGACTCTATGGTTAGTGATATTGTTAGTGAATTGTTTTGGTGTGGTGGGTATTAGATATAAATTTATACATTTCATATGGAAATTCTTTTTTTACTTTAGTATGGCTATAACACTGATTTCTCTTTTCATTAAAGCTGTGTTTACAGAGGTCCTGGGAATCTGATTTTGTCGTTAATAGTTGATAGTCATTGTATCATTATTTTTCTATAACCACTGGGATATGTCATTTTAACCATAAGCTCTTTTGTACACTGCAAATAATCTACAATTTTGTGTGTTTTTCAGGTATGATTACTGATCTGTTTATCGACAAGTACAAGTTCAAGGGCGTCAATGTCAAAAGTCGAGTGCCACAGCTCTTGGAAATCCTTGATAATTATGGCAGTCTAGATCTTCAGCATCTCATAAATTTCTTCCAAGCTCAGTGAAAGGCAGCACCTATGACCTAGCTCTACTTTCCTAACCACATGCCGCCAGGAAAAATTAATAGAAATTGGGGAAAATGCTGTGCTCACTTTTTATATTTTTTGTGAAATGTCTCTGCACATAGATGGCTCTGCTAGTGCTTAGCCACAAAGGAGTCAATTAGTAGACCTTGTGAGCTTACCTAGTTTCACCATTCCTTGAATGGCAGGAATACCCATATTGTAAGCTAGAAAGTTGCACTAGCATTTCTGCCTTTTATACATTACATATGTATTTAGGTGGCTCTATGTTTCATTGAGAAGATTCCATAAAATAAGTATAAATCACTAATTGGTAGAAGAGGCAATACATATATGAATTATATACTGATTCTGATAGTTCTAGTATATTAGTTAATTCCACAGTCAACTTTCTGTACAGAACATCTGATCTTTTTTCTTTTCTTTAAGGTTCGCCTTGACATTTCGTGCGAAGTGAGTGAGGAGAGTGTTGTACACGCTCTTCACCTTCTGCACCCACGACTGGAGGCCCAGCTTATGTTAGCCAAACAGGTAACGCAAACCAAATATACAATAACTCGCCATCATTTTATATTTTGTTTCAAGGGTCAGGCTTGAGATGTGGAGTGTGTAATTTTATCCTTAATTTACATTTTTCTTCCACCAGGTATCATTGATAGATGCCCTTAGAGAGTTGGGTTCCCATGAAACGGATACGAGTTTTCTTTCTCCAGAGTATAAGCAGATATTGGACAATGCTGATGAACTTCTAGCACAATATCGCAAACAACCATGTCATCTTGAAAGACTCTATGGTTAGTGATATTGTTAGTGAATTGTTTTGGTGTGGTGGGTATTAGATATAAATGTATACATTTGGAAATTCTTTTTTTACTTTAGTATGGCTATAACACTGATTTCTCTTTTCATTAAAGCTGTGTTTACAGAGGTCCTGGGAATCTGATTTTGTCGTTAATAGTTGATAGTCATTGTATCATTATTTTTCTATAACCACTGGGATATGTCATTTTAACCATAAGCTCTTTTGTACACTGCAAATAATCTATAATTTTGTGTGTTTTTCAGGTATGATTACTGATCTGTTTATCGACAAGTACAAGTTCAAGGGCGTCAATGTCAAAAGTCGAGTGCCACAGCTCTTGGAAATCCTTGATAATTATGGCAGTCTAGATCTTCAGCATCTCATAAATTTCTTCCAAGCTCAGTGAAAGGCAGCACCTATGACCTAGCTCTACTTTCCTAACCACATGCCGCCAGGAAAAATTAATAGAAATTGGGGAAAATGCTGTGCTCACTTTTTATATTTTTGTGAAATGTCTCTGCACATAGATGGCTCTGCTAGTGC